TTTTACTTTTTCTAAGATCCTCAAATTATGGAAATGTTATAGAGTCTATGTGATCGTGGAAAAAATATACTCTGTACCTGTTTTCAGAAACTCTTGTTACATGTGCACATTAATCATGTTTGGAATGATTTATTTCTGCATTTGTGCTGGCCAATTTTATTAATGTTTGGTTTGGCTGAGTGAAAGAAAATCTGCTTTCTATTTCACCTCTGTGAAAAAGAGGAGTTAGATCTGTGCTAGCTTATAGAAAGCCTATACCTCAGCTTGATTCCTTAATCTCAGGAACTTCCATATTCATCTTCTACATTCTTCCTCAGCAAAACTCTCTGCAAAATATCTTAATCTAGTCCTGTTCAAATTGTATGTTTGTTTTGTTTTCCATCCCCTGCGGAACTTTCAATAGCTTTCCTAAAACATTTCATGCTAACTATGGGGACCTTGTCACAAACATTCCTCACTTTATTACTTAGTCCTCTACACTGGCCTCAAATAATTCTACTGCTGGGTCTGTTTATTTGCAGGCTGCATTTGCCCAGCCCTGACCGGGCTCTGACTCCCTTTCTTTGGCCACTGAAACTCAAATTCCTCCCAAATACACACATTTCTTCAGTCCACAAAGCAAACATCCTCTATCTTTTTAATTATCGCCCCACCACTTACATTTGGAAAGTTTTTTCCACTCCTTATTTCCAAAATACTGCCCCAAACATTGCAAAATGCTCAACAACACATTGACTTTTGCATTTCGTGTTTATTACCACTCTGGCCTTCCTGAGGGCAGAATTCACACTCAGTAATGACTGAATTCTTAATACCAAATAAGAATCTATTGCCTGAACACTCCACTTGGACTTAAAACAGCTTGGTCATAGTATTTTGATTTTCTTTTTCATGTTGGGTAATTCAGAGACAGAAATTCAGATGCTTTTTCTATGTTCAGACTTCCACCATTTTTCAGCACTTTTTCTGGACAGTCTATACTAGAACAAAAGTTGAGATGTCAAGCTGAACATTTTATTTTCTCCACAAATATTCTCAGATCCATAGACATAGCTGTATGTGGATGATTGAAGGCTCCCAAAGCATGGCAAATGTAATACTTTTCTTACACTCCTTGACGCTTGGCTTTGTCTGGCAAATAATCTGCGATAAGAACTTCTAACCCATGGCTGTGCAAAGAGCTTTTCTTTGTACCAAATGTAGAGAAGGGGGCCTGGATTTCAGGTAATGGTTTGGGTTGATACTTTGACATCGGGCACAGTTCTGGCTCTGTCCAGGATCTTGAGCCCAGGGCAAGCTAGTGAGTCTCTCTATACTTTCAATTTTGTCATTTACGAAATGAGGCCAACACAAGTAGTTTTTATTAGGTGAGATAATTGTGTCAACTATGTAACTTCACTCTTGGAAAAAAATCAATGCTTAATAAATGGTATCAGTAGTTAGTAAATTAAAAACATTATTGTCACAGCTATTATTCCAGATGCCATGTATATTCAAATCTCAGTGAAGCTCTAAGTGAAAGATAGTATGAGATAAAAGAACCCTCAAAACTTGATGGGCAGAAAACCCAGACAAATAAATCAATCATTTTTGCAAAATAAAGAGAAAAATCTAATACATACTGATTCCCTATACCAAAATCCTCATTATGTAGACAACTACTCACAGTATTATACAAGTGGGGAGGCTTTGGAGAGTGAAGGGGACTCTGCAAATAATTACTCCAGGACAAAAGCATCAACAAAGACCCAGGCTGAACCACCAACTAAGGTCACTCTTTCATTAGCACATTCTGATTTGTGGTATTTAGAATAAAGAAAATTGAGAAAAAGTCTAACTCTGCAATGTTGGGATTATATGTGCAATATAATCCTTGAGACCCTGACTATGACAAACTAGCTAAAACAATAACAGTCACAACAAAAAGACAGACCTAAACACATAGAGAGAAGAGTGAAATTCAAAAGAATGGATTTGTGCCAAGCTTGCAGATTTTGGTATCACTGTCTTGAGATTCTGTCTCTGCATTGTAAACTTGCATATGACTTAGGCAAGTCATCCAGGGCATCTAACCTCTTTTTGGCTGGCAGCTTCAAATGGAAAAGATAAGGCCAATGATACCAGTGAGCATTATGCATCACATATCATACAGTAGTAACCAAGTTGGTTACACTAATCAAATATAAAGAGGAGTTTCTTGCAGATCCTACTGCACTTCTTCCTTTGAGAAATGAAAACGAAGCTTCCTTATGAAATGCAAGAACTGTAGGAAAAATGAGTGCAAGATCTCTACAGCACATTGATTGCTCTGTTGACACCAGCATCTTCTAGTTGTGAAAACAATGCCTTTCAACAAAATGTTGCAATTCTATTAGTAAACACTATGGCACTGCATTTTTGGAAGTTGGTCCTAGAAGTCATTAAATGCAGGACAAAAGTCCTGCTTTAAGAAACTGAATTAAAGATAGTTTACTTCAAAGTCTGTGGATAGGTTAGGGAGGACTTGAAAAAATGTTTCCTGGGTCCCTGATTCTTCTAACGCCATGGTTCTCGATTTAAATAAACAGTGGAATTAAAGATGCCCTCCCCAAATAATCACATCCTAATCTTGGAGGCTCTGAAGCAAGCGCCGTGATGTTGGTGCTTTCCGGCATTAGAAGCTTTCAGCTTCTAAGATGATTGGAGTGGGCAGGGAAGGTTGCCACTGTTGAAAATAGGAGGAATTTCACCTGAGTGGGGGTTCTCTCCCCCAAAGCACTGCTCTATAATCCTATCTCCACGCATTCTTTCCTAACCCCTCAGTCCTACAATCCCAGCAAGTTAAGCCTGTCTTTTAATCATTTTTCCCAATCAAATCCCACTGGAAGGAAGAGGGCTAGTAAATCCATTCACCTCAAACAGTGACTGTTAAAAAAAGACTAAAAGGATTAATCCTAATAGTGTTTACATTTTTCACAATGACCTAAACTTTAAAGTAAAGAACACAAGGGAAATGGAAATAGAAACATTGATATATAAGGAAGGGATTTCTAAGCATTTTCTAGACTTTTCTGGTATTTCAGAAATCACATCAAGGGCTTCTGCTTGCATGTAAACTTGTGAAGCTCATGTAGACAACAGTTTGTGAGTAAAATGAATAATACAACTCAATAAACCACCGTAAGATTTGATGTGAACTTTGTATTTCTAGATGCTTTTTTTCACATGTTGTCTTCGATTATATAACTCTGACCAAAAAGTTAGGAATCGTTATTTTCTCTTCATAAGTGTAAAACTGATGCCCCAAGAGTGGCATTACTTCTCATGACCCAGAAATAGTTTTGTTACCTTGACCCATTGTCTTGAAACCCCAGCTTTTCCCACTCCCACAAACGTCTTCCCTACAAATACTCACTGCCTTTGAGAAGTGATATAGCAATCCAGTCCATGATAAAGTGGATTCAGAACACAAGAGAACAAAAACAAACTATTAGGTAGGTTGATAAATCCTATAGAAATTTGGGGCTGCATTTTTGTTGTTGTCTTCTGTAAATTAAATCCAGCTATTGTGGGGAAGCACAAATACGTTTAATCTAAAAGTGTTTTTTATATTTATTCAACCATCATTGTTTCAACTGCTACTTGAGATATTATGGGAAAATCAGCAAGTTCCCATAAACTGCCACTGGCAGAAAACTCTGTGGTAACAACATAAGCATCATACTCTGTATAATCTTGTAAAGGCAACAAGAAGAATCTGTATTATCTCAGGAAAGAAAAGGGAAACTAATGAGTTGTATATGCTATCCCTAAGAAAATCTATTAAGGAATATCTACTGTACTTCCAAGTGTATGAGGTTGATTATTTTAGAGAATATTATCCATCTTCCCAGGTAATGGTTAATGCCAAAAAGGTCAGTTAGAATCTTGCCATATTGACAATTTTGTAAAATACCTCAGTGACTAGAAAATGAGCAGAAATGCTTTATAAGATGATAAATTGTTGTATTATATTAAAGACAGATTTAAAATTTTTTATTTAGGCATTGGAGTTTGAATTTCTTAGCATGTGTTGTTAAAATTAGATTTTAAAAAGTACATATGAATAAGATGAACTCAATTTAAGTAGTATATTAATATGCATATAAAAAGACAGTAATTGCTAGGAAGATTTATTTTGAAAGAAAGCAGACAGAGAAAAACAGAAAGGAGGAGGAAGTGAAAAAAAAGACTGCCTGTAGGGTAAAGAATAAGAACTTTCTCACAGAATACAATTTCTTTTATCCCAGAAAGACCAAAGTTAAAATTCAAGGAGCAAGGCCCAGGGATTTAGCTCAGTGGTTCTGCCACCTGTCTCACAAGTGAAAGGACCCAAGTTCATCCCCAGTACAAAAAAAAAAAAAAAAAAAAAAAAAAGCAGGCAGCCAGGGAAAAGACAAACCCAGAGAGAGTCAGGATGACCCAGTGAAGGACAGGATAGGATAAAGCCTGGGACTGAGGACTAACACAATGCCAGGGCCCAGGATGGGCACCGGATGACCAAGGCCAGCCCTTGGTGGCCCAATGAACAACAAAAAAAAAAAAAAAAAAAAAAAAAAAGAGAGAGAGAGAGAAAGAAAAAGAAATTCAGGAGCAAAAGTAACTTTGGTCTTATTCCTAGTAAATACTGGGAGGATGGACTCCATAGATTGATTAGGAGAGAGACAGGATTGCCTTTCACTGTCAAAGGAGGGAAAAAGCGGTAGAGAATGACAATACGTTAACATCAGTGTAAGCAGATGGCAACAGAGAGCAAGGCAGGTCCTCAGAGAGCTTTGAAATAAGCAGAAAGCACGACTTCAAACTGCATAAAGGCACAGAAGGACAGTGAAGTTGATGTCACACTGATTCGTCATGATGTAGTCATAGAAAGTGGGTCTAGCTGCCGCAAGAAGAGGAAACCATAGAGCAAAGTGATGACAGGAAACTGTGATATATCACAAAGCTGATGGCTTTAGGAAAGACCAGATGAGAACCAGACCCCAGGGAGGCCCCTGGAATGAGCCCGTGGCAGGGGGCCAGCCGTGAACACAAGCAGTCTTGGTGGATGTGAACCTCCAGTGACCACACACAATCTTTCTGTGTGGGCACAGCTGAAGCCTGATGCCCTTAAAAGTCCAGAAGTCCTTTATCCCAAAGTGAAAAAGCAAACGTTACCCAGTAGGCAAACAATGCTGAGAGCTCGCTTCCTCCAACTCCATAGCTAAGCTACTCACTCCGGATAACATCACTCCGCGGCCAAGCCCTGAGTCAGGAAGTAGTTTATTTTCACTGAAATTGAGGGGGAAGTTAAAGAGAAAAACAGCTGCAATTTGGTCAGTTCGGGAAAACCAGGTAGGAATAAAGAGAACAAGTTAAAGAGAAAGCCAGCTCAATTTGCTGGGAGCTAAATCTTGCACACCCGGAAAAGGCAACCATCAGAGTCTTGCTCATTTGTATTCAGTGTGACAGAGAAGGCTGGATTGGGCAGCAGGCTTCCTGGGTCGGAGGGCGAGCTTAGCCCCAGGAGCGGGTAGGGCTGTGAGAAAGCAAAGACTGACCGAATCACTGGATGCCTCCAGAAGCAGACAGTGAATGAAGAGTGCAGGTAGAGGTAGAAGGACAAGGGGAGGGGGAAATGGGGAAGGGAGGTAGAAGGCAGGAAATGGGGACAAAGGAGGAAAAGCTACTTGTTTCAAATCAATAATCCTTGCAACAATGCATAAGATTCTAATAAGATTACTGACATTTAGAAATGGGAGGAAAGGAGCTAAAGGTGTAGGGAAGATGTGATACGTAGGGGAAGAACAAAAAGGGAAAAGAAAAAAATGTGAGAGAATGAAAAGATGAAAATAAAGTGTTTGTAGATGGGGAGGGGAGGAGGGGGTGAAGAGAGGGCAGAGGTAAGGGGAAAAAAATGAGAATCAAGACTTGCCATGTAAAGGTACATGATCCCAACAATGAATGTAACTGTACTGTATCCCTAAATGTACCAATAAACTCAATAAAATAAAAAAGAATAATAATAATCCTTAAAGAAGATGTGCCTCCCCGGGGAGATTTCAAAGAGCTCCGGGTCTCAGAGCTAGAGCTAGGACTCTCCTAACGTCCCTCAGCCTGGGCCTGCTTCCTGCAACTCGTTCTCTAACTAGAGCGCCCTAGTTGCTGCTCTCTGCATTCCTTCCGTTTCCACCTTCCTGGAGAGCTCACTTTCCTCACGGTCAAGAATATACCGAATAGTTTCTCTGGTGTGAAAAACTAAAACAGTACTCAAGATCCCAATGGGACAATTAGCAAATAGGAAGAAAAGGACCAAAGGTGTAGGGACAGTGAGAAGGATAGGGAAGGGGGAATAAGGGAAAAGGAAAAAAATATGAGAAAATGTAAAAATGGAATTAAAGTGTTGGAAGGGGGGAGGGGAGGGGAGGGTGGGGACAAGGGCAAAAAATGAGAACCAAGACCTGGCATGTAAAGGTACAAGATCCCAGTAATAAGTGTAGCTGTATTGTCTACCTAGAATGTACCAATAAATTAAATTTTAAAAAAAAGAAAGAAAAGCAGAGAAACATCACCTGCTCTTTCTCTCAATGGCTGAATTATTCTTCTACACCCTTTTTTGATAGCAAAGTGGAAACCCTTAAAGGGATTACAGAATGAAGAAGTTTTGAGAAGCATGCTCTAAATAAAGAATCAGAGACGAAAACCTGTCGTGATGAAAAATTAAACTAAGCTGCCTCCAATAAAGTAAAGGAGCAACCCATGCTTGGTGAGCAGGAAGAATAATTCATACACAGTGGGCCTGATAACGAGGCAGTTTCTTGCCAATGCCTACGCCTCTTACCTGGCATGTGCTGAGAAAATTCAAGGGAAGCAATGCCACTGTAACACGCAGAATCTGAAAACTGAAGTCTGGGTTTATTCCTAAACTTGAAATTTATTCTCAATAACTTCTACCTGCTTAAATAAACCTATGGGAATAAGTGACTGTGATAAGCTTAACGGAATACTAAGCCAGCCAGAGCTTCGGCTTATTATGAGGTCACTCAAGTTAACAGTCTTCAAATAGTCAATAGAGTTTGGCCATAAAAAGTCCAGGACAAAACTACCATCCCTTGTTAGTTATGTGATCTTGGGAAGGCTTGTCATTGGGCCTAAATGTTAATTTGCTAAATGGATGTCATCACAGAGCTATGAGTAGGACTAAAATTTTTAAAGTATCATTATTTGTTAATGCGTCTATGTTTCAGGTAGCATAGTAAAGTTCTTTACATGCATCATCTCCTTCATCTCTGCAACTACCCTTTAAATAGTCAGAAGCATAACCAAATGGGTGGACAGATTAATGGATGGAATTACTAACCCCCACTTTAAAAATGAGATGCTGAGATCTAGCATGAATCATGCTAGGACTCATGGCTATTAGAATACATTCTCCTTTTCCTATATTATAATATTTTTCCATTTTCTACACTTCCACCCTTTGTTTATTCTGCCATCTTCTTCATCCTGACGATCTTGGGAGTCCTTTCCCTCACCAATTAACCAGGGTTTGAAGAGTTTCTTTTTCTTTCTTCTTCCAAACTGTTCTCATGAAAAGCCGGAATAGCTCTCTTATTCAATTCAGCAAATAATAATAGGCCAAAAGCAATGCGTCTGGCACTAGGATAGATGCTGGAAAGATAGGATAAAACATGGTTTCTACCCTCAAATTATTCTCAAGAAATAATAGAAGGCTTAAATCCCTGTGCTCCACCCTTCATCTCCAACTCCTCGTTTACCAAACTCTAACCCCCAGCCTACTCCTCCATCATGACGCCTTCCCTTGAAACCATGCAAATAAAATTTGCTTCCATAGTAGGAAGTGAAACAACGGGGTTTCAGCTTTGGTGAACAACTTTATGAGAATATGTCTTTTGGTGCTTTTTTTTTTAATCATTAAATTTATTGATACATTTTAGGTACACATCACAGTTACATTCATCATTGGGATATTGTACCTTTACATGATGGTATTTTGGTTCGTATTTTTTCCCCATACCCCTTTCTCCCCTTCACCCCCTCCATCCTTCCCTATTACAAGGACTTTGTTTCCATTTTTTCCTTTTCTTATATTGTTTCTTTTCCTTTCTTACCTTTCCCCTACCCCATTTTCCATACTCCTTTCATCCTTTTCTTCTTATTATATAATATCAATTATATATTTTGATGCTTGTTTACACTTTTGGTTTTTCACACCAGAGAAACTATTTGGTATTTATACATGTGTATCTTATTAATTTCACTTAAGAATATGGCCTAAATGTGCATCCACTTAGCTATAAATGTCTCTAGTTTCTTGTTATTTATGGCTGAGTAGTACTCCACTTTATATATTAAAAACAAAAACATCTCCTTTACCTAGTCTTCAGTTGATGGGCAATTGGGCTGTTTCCAAGTTTGAGCTATTACAAAATGACACTATAAACATGGGTGCGCATATATCACTGTGATATGATTCTTTTAATTCTTTTGGGAAGATACCCAGCAGAGGAATAGCTGGGTCAAATGGGACCTCTAATCCTAGTTCTTTGAGGAATCTCCATATTGATTTCCATAGTGGTTGTACCAGTCTGCACTCCCACCAACGATGAAGGGTTCCTATCTCCCCACAGCCCTATCAGCATTTGTTATTGGATGATTTCTTGAAAGCAGCTATTCTGTCTTGGGTGAGGTGGAATCTCAGTATTTTCATTTGCATCTCTCAAATGACCTGTGATGTTGAACATTTGTTCATATGTTTATTTGATGCTTTACTTCTTTGTCTGAGAAATGCCTGTTCATTTCAGATGCCCATTTTTGAATCAGGTCTTTATATTTGGAAGGTCTGATTCTGATTTTTTTTTACTTTTTTATATATTCTAGATAATAGTCTTTATCAGCTATTCCTTTGGTGCTTTTAAAACCATAGTGCTTAGTTGTGCTTTTACTCTGTCTGACCATGAGAAATGTGATTTTTGAAGCAAACAAGAGCCTGATCCCGAAGAAATGTCCCAAAGTCCTTAGCAGAATAGAGTTTTCAGAATGAAAACCAGTCACATGTTGGGAAATCTTGATTTTCAGAGAAATAGCTGCCTGGACACAAGAGGACTTTTAGTACAGAAAGCCTGGTTTTTCAATGTCTTCACCTTTGAGCATAATTTCCCTATATTTTGTAAAATGGTCATTATAATATCTTTGTTTCATAGTTGCTCCAGAAATTTAGTAAGGTAATTATATAAGGCAATTATGCACGGAAGTAGCCAATAGATGGTAATTCTCATCACTATTATTATCTGAGGGGAAATCAACAAAACAAAGTTCAAAAAGAGCTTTTAAGGTAACCCTGTTCCTTTGGTCTTTCAATTCTTGGGCTTTCTATACACGTGCTTTCTCTGTGGTTTCACATGATATTTGTTTAAGCCCCCTATGGCCAGCTGACCTCTCTAAAGTCTGACATTCTCATAATGTGTCTCTGCTTAGTGGACTTTCTTGCTGGATTACATTTGGATTTCCATGGAATTGTTTATTGTAGCCACACGGCACCAAAATGCATCACTATGATTAAATCAGTGAGAATGGCTACCAAGGGAACTCTGTAAGAGTTTCCTCCCGTAAGATATTTGGGCACATGAACGCAACATCCAATGAGTAACTCCCTAAGCATGTAGTGTCATCGTAGACTAAATAAGTAGTTCAGTGTATCATATGGGAACCTAAATGACAGGAATACTGTGTACTTTTCCTTTACAGTGTACTTTCCTTTTGAGTACGTTAAGAATTAAAAGTATAATATTCTCATGTATCTTTAAACATTCATACATATCTTTTGATTTCAGGGAAGTCATAGACTAAAAGAATAACTAGAAATCATTCATGTGATGTATGGTTATGTAGTATTATATTGATCTTCCAAAGCTATAGTAGTTCAAAGTACCATTAAGTCTTATATTGTACATATCAAGCAGAATACCAAACCTACCACATATTTCCATAAAAAACAACTGCAATAAAAAAGTCATTCTCCCTTCCTATAACTGAATTGTTTCTTGGAAAATCACTTCTAAAATCTTTACCTATTTTCCGCAGGTCTGTTTTAAAGTTAGCATAAATTATTAGCATATAAAAGGTAGCCTATACATCCATCTAGATCGATGTGTCCAGTTCTTGAGATTCAGAAACAAGAAGCAACAAAAGTCAAACTGGCCTGGTGGCGTGAGGTACGATCCAACACTCTGGCGAATATTTAAATTTTTAAACAATGATTGCAGTAAGACCCAGAGCCATCAATCCCTACTCCATCCCTTGCTTCCCGCACCCTTATCCCATTGTTCTCACACGTCCTGAAGCAGTTCTGGAAGTCATTTTCTGTCTCTGGTTGCACTTTCATGGCTGCCTTGTTCTGAATCTCTTCAAAACATTTACCTTTCATGGCCATTTGACTTTGGGGAAGAGCCAGAAGCCGCACTGTGTGAGATCTGGCAAATAAAGTAAATGCGGACGCGCCATAATGTTTTTCCCTGTCTGCCTTTCTGCTGCCTGGCACTTGGCAGTGGCAGTCACCAGCCTTTCATCGTGCCTTGTAAAAAACTCAGAAAAGAAGACTTGCAGAACCGCTTCAGAAAAATGGTAAGAATGGCGGGGTGAGTGCGTTCAGAGCCAGGAGGAGTATCTCAAGGGGCATTTTACCGTCATATAGTAGTTTAGTAGAAGAGGACTTTTATTTAAATATTCACTAAATATTTTTACCACCCTTGTATACATTTGCTTGATCCCACCGATATGTGAGAATTCTCTGCCAATTGCAGTAATATTGCAAATTTTTGTACCAATATGACATTATAGTTTGATCGCAGGATTAGCTACATTCTGGTCCCCTCTGTCTTCTGCCGGACAATGACAAGTCACCTTCTGAGTGGGGGTGGGGAGATGAGCCTCCCAAGACAGAATTAAAAGGATTGGGAGGTACTGAAAGCAAACTTCAGGGGAATTTAAGGTTTATGTGGTCAAATGCTAGTGGAACCATTCTATAATCTATTCAATCTGAAAAATGTATAACTTCCATAAACTGTATTCAGAAGAAACTATTTTGTGAAATGGGTCAAAACCAGGGAAGCCAGTGAAGAATTAGGATTTGCATAAAGATTTTTTCCTAAAAGACATCCTCCCCTCAGAATGTATGGTAACAGTGATGGCGAACCTTTTAGAGCTTTCAATGATACAAACCACTTTCTACAGCATCTATGCCATGGGTTCACCACTGGTAAAGGATTTCACAAATATATTTCATGCTTTTATGTTCTCAGCAGGTTTGACCCACCTCTCACTCCATTTTCTTTCTTTTTCAATTTAAGTGCATATGTTTACATATCTGAATTTATTTTGTATAATCAAGAGATGTTTCTTGACATCTTATTGCTGTCACTTTTGTAATGTCACCCTCTATTAATTATGAATGAGATAGATATTATTTCCACTTGTCTCACAGTTGACAGAAATGGGGTTAAGGCTTCGTAGCTGTCAACAGAATCAGCAGCAGCTAAAAGGCCAGGAATCTCTCCTTTAATCCCGCCTTCTTTGTCATTGCCATGGAAGAAGCTTCAATCATGTACAGCTTTTTTTTTTCTTTCCTTCACTTGTGAATGAGGCACATTTCTGCACTAACCTTGTTCTTTATCTCCTTTAAGCCCAAAGTGGAGACACCTTTGCACTAATACACTGGGGATAGCAAGGAGGCTGGTGAGGAGTAGCTATATTGGTATGCAGATGAACATTTCCAGTCATTTGCTTTATTCTTTCATTTACTTCCTTTCACTCACTTAAACCAATCTCTCTGAAAGAAACTCTGCGTTTCAAGAGAAAGAGTTTAGGTTTTCATATGAGAGACACCAGGCATGCCTCATAACCACCAGTTTGCCTGCTTTCCCCGTCTTTAAATGAAAGTAGTAACGATTTTATAGCACTCTGACAAGCACTAGACAAAAGCGCTATTTAGTCAGGAAAAGCAGTCCTCATGGTAAGAACATCATAAATGGTGCTGTTGTCAAATGATTCATAACTACTATCCATGCTGTGCACCCCCTTCTGAACAACTTGTTTTCCTCTCAAGGGAGTATGCGTCTTTTATCAGCCAGGTCTCTCCAGCTACAACACCCTTTCAACAAATATTACTCTATTCAAAGCACTAGGGTAGAAAAAATTTTAAATGCCTTCAGGTGTGGAAATGTTCTGTATAAGGTGTGATCAAAATATATGCTGAATGTTTAAATTGAAAAAAATTAAAGACACATTGCCATTAACCTCCCTGAAAAACTACTTGCCAGTGCTTTGGACTTATTGCATCCTTCTGGCCACATTCCGGGGCAGTTCTGGAAGTCCTCTTTTGTGAGTGTCTTTACATGTGCTGAGCAAAATTGTGGGACTGCTGCTGCTGAGTCCCTCCCATCCAATGGAAAGCTAGCTTCGTTAAAACATTCCGCCACGTCCTCATCCACCTTAATCACTGGACCCGGCACCCCATGACCTCTGGCTCTTCCCCAAAGTCAAAATGACCACGAAAGGTAAACTGCTTCAGGACATCAAAGACACAAAAGTCAAGAGAATGAACTTCCAGAAATGCTTGGGAAAGTGACAAGAATGACAGAATAAGTATGTTACAAGCAAGGGGGATTATTTTGAGGACTGATGACAATATGCCTGTAACTATTTTTAATTTAAACTTTTGTAGTATTTTTCTGTCATACCTCGTAGGTAAGAGCAAGCATTCCCCTGTGCTCGGCTCACACAGAAAAGGTGGGTACTGTCCAGCAACTGGGGCTGGTCCCATGTGGGCTTAGGCAGGTGATTTCACCTTGGGGAGACAGGGTCCACACATCCACATTGATTTGAACAGTACTACTGATATACTATTTTCCTTTTGGAGACCCTACTACATGCTTTTATAGGATTAGACTGCATAGATAATCAGAATGGATTTTGAGAAGTAAAACAAATGATCTACAAAATGTTTGGTACGAATGTAAAACTTATATCGTACTTGTGGTAACTCTGGGAGACTCCCATCCCACAAGAGCACTTCTCCCACATCCCTTTAATGTCACTCTTTATTCTGATTCCAGTGCTCATCGAGACAGGGATTTGAAGAACTCCTGCCTCAGAAATGTGACTTAATCTTTTCCTCTTACTGCCATCTCCTTAAAACCTAATGAAGTGAGGAGGTGAGTGGCTCGTGTGTTAGCCTTTAGATTCCATATATATATA